GCCAGGGCAAACAAATGAGATTAGCTTCGGGGCTTAGGTATTGGCATATGAATACTTCGGCATATGTGATTTTCCATGAAGTGAGTTGGCTAGTTCAATAATCAACAAATGGGTCTCGACGAATTTGCCACGTGGAGTCAAATGTGGCGAGACATAATAGAATCCATACTATGATCAAATAAATTTCCAATAGTCCCCAATAATTTATGCCACTCAGGTGAAGATATTAGTGACCTCGAACTTCATTTTATGAGAATGCAAAAGTCGTCAATCTACAATGACCTTCAAACCCAAAATTAGAAATTTTAGTCCAATTTCACTAAAATCTCGCTAATACTCATCCCTAATAATCGTCCCCAGGCCAATTGACCTCAAAGTAGAAGTTGCACTAAAATTAATGTTTTAAAAATTGGATCGGGCCGATCAGTTCAATTGAAAAAATGAAGAATCGGGACCAAAATCTGTCTGATTAGACTTATAAAACCTCTAATTAAAAACTTGCCACAAAAGTTGTTAAACCGACCATTTTTGAAAAACCCACGACTAGTTCCCGATTTTGTCGGTTCAATCTATGTAAATGTGTGTTCATGTGTGTGTATATATATTTATATTTATATATTTTAACCTTTTTAATGTATATTTTTTAATTTTTGTAAATGTGTTGACACATAAAAAATTCAGCCCAAATCGAACAGCCCAAGGAGTAAAGCCCAATTGGAGGATCCCCAAATCGGATAGCCCAAAGAACGAAGTCCAATCGAAGGAATCAAGGTGAAGGCCCAAATAAGGGGCCAAAGAATGCGGTAACGTCATCGCCCAAGTTTGCAAGTCGCCCAGAATCTGAACGAATAGAGTGTCATACGGTCGCCCAGAGCTGTTATTCTATTCTCGCCCAAACCTTCAAGTCGCCCAAAGTATCAACAAACATAACGCATCGTGGTTATCAAGAAATGCAGTTATCAAGGCAGTTGTTAAAGTAGCCTTATCACATTCCACGACTCAAGGAATTCAATCAAAAGCGGTTGGACGATGAAAGATAATGGCAGCAGTTAAAAGGCAGTTTCATGACAAAATGGCCATTACAAAGAAAGTGGGTAGTTATAGGACGATCAAACAGTTTTTAGAGTAGTTAATCACAAAGAGATCGTCTATGAGGTATAAAAGGGAGAAAGGACGTAGAAGCAAAGGACCGAATCCAAAACTCTCGAACAGAGAATATGTAATTTTCGTTTCCTTAGCTTTTAGACTTAAACTCTTTTCTTTCTGTAACTCGTGTGCTTGCGCCCCTTGGAGGCACGCTGTTTTTCATTTCCAATTGTAAAGTTCATCGCCAATAAAAGAACACCCCTTTTTGGGACTTTGTCTCAAGAGGTTTGTCCCTTACACAATCGTCTGATCCTTTTTAATTGTTAGCGACTTAACCCGCGCGAAACAATTTGGCACGCCCGGTGGGACAGTGGTGTTAGGTGTTGAAAGTACAAAAGGTGAAACAATATGCCTCAGAGATCCAACAAGGAAGGACCAAGTCAGGGAGGAATCCAGTCTGTAATTGAGCGATATGAGGAGTAACATGTCTCTCCACGAACAGATGGACAAAATCAGAGTAGTAATAGTCGTTACGAACCAATGACGGAGTTGAGTCCTCGAACCATGCTTGCATTGCTTGGAGAACTCACGCAAGACGTCGTTGAACAGGTAAATCTTCGAAGTATTCATAATATGGAAAGATTTACACAAAATAGAAATGCACACTATGACAATATGGCCAAACAGCTAAAGACGTTAAACGAAACAATGAATAAGTTAGTAGGCCAAATATATCAGCCGACTATACCTCTTACAAACCACTTTCAAACCAGGACAATTGTGGGACATAATCCCTCTGTCCTAAATCCGAATCAAGGGGTAGAATCGCTTTCTGGTCCCTCTACTTCAAACCAAGGGGGTACTACAGTGCCAATTCAAAACAATGGTAGTGGCATGCCTAACTTGGGGGGTAATCCAAACGTGAGAGACAATGTCCTAAACAATGGACAGAATATTCCACGTGGTAATGAGGGAACAGATGTCCAGGCTAATGGTAATGGCCCTAATTATGGCAATTTTGTTGCCAATCAACGACCAAACATCAGACCTCATGCAAATCAACCGGTTAATCAGCTTGTAGGAATTCCATATAATTCCAATATCATGCTGAGGAACCAGATTATGGAAATCGTGCAGGATCAGATGGCTTTTGGGGTGCGTCCTGTCATTAGGTCGACGTACACAAAACCATATCCTGATTGGGTAGACCAAGCATATCCATGGCCTAGAGGGTACAAAGTGCCAGAATTCTTTGTACCAGAATTCTCACTGTTTACCGGTTTAGGAGAGATGTCTACTCTAGAACACATAGGGCGATTCACGTTGCAAAGTGGTGATGTAACCGATTACCATAAAATGAGACTTTTCCCTAGTTCGTTAACAGGAGTAGCTTTCTCCTGGTTCATCAACTTGCCAGCGAACTCTGTTCAAACATGCCAACAACTGGAACAGTTGTTTCACGCTCAGTTTTATAAAACTGAGTCTGAAGTCACTTTGGCTGATTTGGCAAATCTACGTCAAATGTCAAATGAATGGGCAGAAAGTTTTCTCCAAAGGTTCATAACAGCAAGAAGCAAGTGTTTTGTACCTCTGCCCGAAAAAGAATTTGTCAAGATCGCACAAGGCTGTTTGAGCTTTGATTTAAAAAAGAAGTTCCAGGACAAGGAATTTCCTGACCTTTTCCAGTTGAGTGCGAATGTGATTAGGTATGAACGACTGATAAGAGAAGAAGAACAAATGAAAAATTCTAGTAAAGAGACTTATTACAGAGACCCAAATTTTGACGTTCATACCATCGACGACGAATCATACGATCAGGCCGAAATGTGTTTGGCCGAATTAATAAAGGGGATACATATACTTGTCCCATAATGGCCAAGCCTAGACCATCGGGCAAAGATGAGCCCATAAAGGATGGAAACATAAAGGCTAGAACGTTCTCGTTCGATGTGACCAAAGCTGACCTTATATTCGATAAATTATATAGGGATAAGCAAATAAAGTTGAGCGATAAACACAAATTGCCAAACCCTGAACAAATAAAGGGTAAAAAATATTGTAAGTGGCATAATGCATGGTCACATTTGACTAACAATTGCTTGGTTTTTCGTCACGTATTGCAGGATGCTATTGAATCAGGACGAATTACGTTCAATGATAAGAAAAAGATGGCAGTGGACGAGAATCCTTTCCCATAGTCACTTGGGGTAAACATGGTAACGTCTGGATTCAAGAACAAGTTACCAAAGTTTAAGTTGGTCATAGATGATGGAGAAGAGGATACTAAAACACATCCCAGTGTCTTCGAACGAATCAAAGGGAAAGAACCAAAAAAGGACGAAAACGTCCTGTGTGCAAAGTGTAAAAGGGAAGTAAATGGAGACACGGAGAAACCAGGGACATGGCAGCATCCTCATCGCCTGGCCTTCTTCCCAAACATTCAGCCTGGTAGAGGGCGAGGTACATCATTCTATAGAGTACCGCCTTTTGAAAGGCAGTTCAGACAAGCAGTTACTGGAAGAACATTTAGGTCGCAACCTCGCCGGCCAAATGTATGGCATTCATTCCAGTACAGAGCAGGAAGGGCAATACCCTTCGATGAGATGACTAGGACCCAACAAAAGCGTTTCCAACGAAACTACGGACGGATGATGAGGCAGCAACAAGGAATGCCACATCCCAAAGCGCCTCTACTACTCAAGGTAGCCAATCAAAACGTCCTCAAAGGTAGTAAAGAGACTGGTACAGACGAATCAATGAAGGAACTGCCAGAAACCTCTTCTGGGAGATCAAGGTTTGAGAGGGACAAAAGGGATGAAAAAGATCCAGATCAGCCCCTTGCTATCCAATTCCGTACGTTGCCTCCTGTTGTGGCCAATAATTACCTACTGGCCAATGAATTCAAGAATAAAGAAGAAGAAGAAGAAGAGAGGGAGGACAACGAAGGAGAAGCCTGCGTGCTGGTATGTGAAGAAGGCCAGACTTCTGGAGAGGCCTACAACGATGAAGAGGACGATGGGATGACAGACATTGAAGAAGAAATCGACCTAGAAGCAGAAAGGAAAAAGAGAGGAGTATTGCGCAATACTCTGTTTAAGCAACTACATCAAGAGGGAGTTCGCGAAGTAGACTTGTTGGGGGAGCCATCTGGGCGTCCTTTCGATTTCTACGTACTGTACGGGACACCCAAAAGGAAGAAGAGAGTGCCTCGCTCTAAGAAGTATGGGTCACCTCCAAGAATAATGCCCCCTCCCACAGGTTTGATAACTGATGAGGAAGCATTAGAAAAAAGTAAGAAGGAAATTCAGGAGACAGAGGATCAGCGTGACATACTACACGTCGACCTATCACAAGGAGATAATTCGACAGAAAACGAGCAGGAGGTAGAAATAGAGGCTGCCGAAAAGGTTGTTTTTAAACGGTCAGCCATGAAATTGATAAAACACCTGAGGCCATTATACGTTAAAGCTCTAGTTAACGACATCCCAGTGGCAAAGGTGCTTGTCGATAATGGAGCGGCTATAAACACCATTCCATCCAGGATGATGAGAAAGTTCGCAAAGACAGAGGGTGATATGATTCCTACAGAAGTCATCCTCACTAGCTTCAATGGAGGAGCAACTTCAGCTAAGGGAGTTATGCCTTTAGACATAACTATAGGTACGACTACTAGGACCACTGTCTTCTTTGTAATAGATGGTCCTACTAGTTACAATGTGCTTCAAGGAAGTCGCTCCATCAATGCCTGATTTTTTGGAATGACAAAGGCGAAGCAGAGGTGGTACAGGCCGATCATAGGCCTTTTGTCGCGGAAGCGAACTCGGTGGAAAAATTCATGTACGAAGGAAACTATGGACCTGTCAGAGTAGTATAAGACGGGGAAGAAACTCAAGTTGTCGCGCAAAGCGAAGAACCATTCTCAGTGGACGCACTCACTGAGATGTTCAAACAGATGAGGCCAAATA